GCATGGACCATGACACCGTCGTTCCACACCTCCCAATGGTCAGAGGCGTGTACAATAGCCATGTAATGGCCAGGCCCATGCACAATGCAGGCAGAGATGCGGGATGGAGGATTAAACAGCTCACCTGGTAGAGCATGGCATAGTTCAAGCTGTCGGTTCCTCATCGCTATTTCTAGGACAGCAATGGTAAAACCTCCTTCCCTGGTGTAATTACGATGATCTGGCTGTAGGTCGGGGGGATCAGCGAGATTAGCCAGATCAACATCAAGCTGCAGGGCAATTGCAAGGAAATCTGATGGTGTATACAACGGCCGATTGAGAACGCGAAGGCAGCTATTAGTTGCAGTCAGACCACAGASATTGGCGGGGATCTCAGGCTGATTTTGTTGGTCAGTCATTTGTAGATCACCCGTGGGGTCTGCGCAGGGTGGTGCACAAGTATGCGGTTCATCCATATGATCCTGGGTAAGGGGGAGGTGATAAACACAGGGAAGGGTAGGAGGAAAGACCAGATCGGTGCGAGGGGCGCGGGGGGCCGGCGCAATAGCGCTCCGAACTTGCGCTACCGGCCGAATGGAGGTTTAGGTCGGTCTCGTCGATCGTTTGACTCGCCGCCAAGACGCGCAAACGATTAGGGTTGACGCAGCCTCGGTGACGCCGTAGGTTTATCGTCTTCCCGTCGACGAGCTATGGTGGTAGAACTATCTTTTCATGTTTCACGTGAATGTTTTGAGTGTTGCGATAGAGATTACAGTCGTGTTCGTACTACAATGGGCGTGCGCTGATAGCGCCCGCCTTTGAAGTGGACAATCTGCACCTGTGTAGGGAAAGCACTGACAAGTGAAGGTTCAAGCTGGACTCAAGATGGAGAACCAAGGCACCTCCGCACCACAAGAGGACGGCAGAGCCACGCCCCCTGCTACAAGAACAGACATCTCCATGTCAGATGAAGATAGGATGAAGCTTCTCATCGCAAAGTGTTACGAAGAGGGAATCATACCAGAGAAGTTCAGGCATGGGGATTGGGTGGCAGAAGGAGGAATACGCCTCTTCAAAGTCAACCAAGGACTTGATACGTTAGTAACAGCTTGGCTCAAGGAAAGGATAGTGACGGTTATTTTTCAAGGCGAAGCGAGGGACCTCCCTCTCAGGACCAGGGAGGATTTGGTGCGAGCCTACGAGAATGGGTGGTACAGAGAGAGAATTTTTGACAGATCAGTGAGGCGGGGAAGAATCCATGGCGAGGGACCGAATGTACTCTCGTACGTGGCCAAGTCCAGGGAGGTGGCCCAATGGATGATAGCAAAAGGAGAAGATAGTAACGATCAGAGGAATCGAGTATGGTATGGTCTTCAAACCTTGGTTGACCAAGACAGAACTAGAAGAACGGAGGAGGTTGGAAGACGATTCAAAATTCTGGGTGGTAGCTTTGAGAGTTCCTCTTCGTGTAATGTTTCACGTAGAGAGCATGGTGGAGACTGCGATGGGTCGCATCATCAAAGCAATTCCTCCGGAGCCTGACA